GGGGCTGCGCCGCTCACCGCTCCGCGGGGTCGAAGCCGCCGTGGGGTTGCTCCAGTCACTCCAGATCCCGGACTTCTTCGAGCCGTAGATCCCGAAGGGGTTGCACCGGACCTGGACGAAGTAGACGGTGCCGGGCCGCAGCCCCGCCAGGCGGCATGATGTCTGGTTCCCCACGTCGTCCACGACCTGCCCAGGGGCAAAGGGCAGGGCTCAAGCATGGTACCGCATGGCGTTGCCACCACCACGCATGGTGCGTCTGCCCCAGCGGCCCGTGCTGGCCCCTGACATGCCCGCTCTCTGCACCGTGCCAAGCCCAGGCAGTGCACAGAAACCAGGGCTCGGTGCTCTCCTCTGCAGCCCCTCGAGGATCCCGGTGCCCCAGGAGGCATCGCCCCGACTCCAGTAGGTGCGAAGAGGTGGGGCGACGGCCGGGAGCCGACCCAGGTGTCCAGGCGCCTGCCCCCCACACCCACCTTCCACTCCGAGCTGTCCTCCACCCGGTATTGGATCTGGTACTTGGCTTGGAAAAGGAAATCCTTCAGGGCTGGCGGGGAGGTCCAGCGCACGCTCAGCTGGTCCTCCAGGTCCCCGACTCGGCTCACGTGCACGTCCGCGGGTGGGTCGGTCGTGACTGCGAGCAGGAGGGGAGAAGCGAGGAGACACGTTAAGCGCAGGCGGGGTGGGGGCAGGGTAGGGCTGGGGCTTCCCAGCCCCTGGCTGGACCCTGCGCCCAGCTGTAGGTCGGGGTGCGCGCGGCCAGGTAGCAGCTGTGCCGCACCCGCGCGCTCCGGCCGGCCGGTGCTGGAGCCTCGTGGAGCCGGGCCTGGGAAGGGATCGGGTTTCTCGGGGTGGGGGAGGCTTTTAGGCAGGAATCTGCACTTGTCACCAGTTCCTTTAACACCCCGGACAGAACGAGGTGTAAAGTGCAAAAGTATCTCGCGTCCAAGTTCCTGTCCCGTTTTCATGGCAACCGGAGCCGGGGCGAGCGCGGCCAGCGCGGGGAGGGACGGCTGCTCCAGGCCGGCAGACGCCTCTCGGGTCGCAGCCGCCAGCTGCACCAGCTCCGGCCAGGGGGGATGCAGAGGCTGGGGGGGCATCCTGCCAGCCACCCCCCCCCCCCACCGCCGGGGTGCTCCGAGCCGCTGGGCGCCGCGGGGCTGGCAGGGGAGTCGTGCTGGAGCAGGTGCTGGCGGGATTTGGCCCCCCGGCCTTGCCAGGCTCATAGGAGTGGGGCAGGGAAAGCAGGACCGAGGGGGAACTCTCTTTCCTGAGTCTTTCCCGTTTCCTACCAGGGCACAAGAGGTATTTGCTGTGCTGCACTTTGTGCAGGGACATGCGCTGGCCTTGACCATGCCTCGTGCCCCTCTCCTCCCATGTGTGTGCATGTGCACGCGCACGTGTGTGTGCACCAGCTGGGTCTGCAATAACTGCACTGTCCGGGATTTGCAACGCAGAACGAGGGACCACCGGCCCTCTTTGATCCTTACAGGCCTGCCTGCTGGGACAGGACGACAGTGCCCCCACCAGCTGCGCCCCCCACGGCAGAGCCCTGCCCTAGCCAAGCCACCTCCTGGCGGTGCTCCCTGGCCTGGACATCTGGCCGCCAGGCCACACAGCCGGCCTGTCCCCCTCGTCCCCGCCTGGCAGCGGGCTGCCGGCGGGCGCGCACAGGACGGGCTCGGAGCCGCTCCCTGGGCACGCGCCGGCTGGGCGGAAAGGGTTAAGGAGCAGCAGATGCCTGGAGGAGAACTCGGAGAAACATCCTAATTAGATTAGAAGCAATTCTGCTCACATATCGCCCATTTCCTGCGCGCCTCCGCCCCGCTGCCTATTACCAGGGACGACGGCATGAACCCGGGATCCAGGTCCCGCCTGGAGCTCCCTGGCTCTCCCCCCCACTGCTGAGGTCACAATCCACGTGTGACATCACCCTGGTGACCAGGTATGACATCACAGCCAGGAGGGTCCCTGCCGGAGGTGGGGAAGGAGCTGCGAGGACCCTGTTGGCTGCTCCAGTCGGGGCCTGGGGGGTCCCGCGGCAGGAGGCTGTAACCTTCGCCAGGAGGTGTCAGCAGCTCTTTAACTGGAGAGCTGCCCCCCAAATCCAGCTGGCGCGGCTCCAGGCAGCCGGGGCTCAGGTTACTGGAGCAGCTCCGCTCCCGCTCTGCCGGCAGCCGCAGGAACCAGGGCAGCGGGGAGCGGAGGTGCCCCCGCCAAGCTGGGGCTCTGCACCCAGGGCTGAGCGCTCCTGCACCTGCCCCGCAGAGCCCCTCCTGGCACAGCCTCCTGCCCCAGGAGGGGGTGCAGAAGAAGCAGGGGCTTCCCAGCACAGCCTTCCCTGCAGGGAAACCCTCCTGGGGCAAGACCCTGCCCGGCACATTGCCCAAAAAGGGGTTTCCCGAGAGAAGCGGTGTTTTGTAGCAGCTGGCGGGGGGCAAAGCAGTGCAAGCCAGGGTCTCACCCACGTCGAGAACGTCCAGCATGACCACGTCCGAGACGGCTACGCCCAGCCGGTTGGAGGCCTCCACCCAGATCTCGTAGGGCGTGAAGAGCGCCAGGTCCTTGGGGATGTGGCAGGAGTACAGCCCCGCGGTGTGGTACTCCTGGCAGGTGTTATCCCGGCCGTACCACCTGGCAACGAGAGGCACCATCAGCCCAGTCCTCTGGCCCGCCGTTATGGGTCAAGCTCTCACCGGGGCCAGAGCGGGTTTGGGGCAAGGGAGGGCTCGGTCTCCCCCCGCAGCCCGCTGTGGGTGCGCAGCCGGACCAGGGGGCTGCCCTCCCGCGGAGCAGGAAAGTGACTGACTCTGCCCGGGCTGCGAGAGGCAGGACGGGTGCTTCGGTGCCCCCGACCAGCTCCTAAGAGGGGCTGTGATGGGGCATCGATGTGGCACGGGGGCTGCACTCCCTCAGCTCATGCCCCTGGGAGCTTATCAGCCCTGCTGGGTCCTGCTCCCTGGGGGACTCTCTTGGGGGTAGCATCAGCCGGGCTCGCCTGGCCCCAGCTGGCCCTGGCTCGGGAGTGGGGCTAACGACCCCAGCTGTCCTCACTTGCCGGCATGGGCCTGGCTGCCTGCTCCCAAGCAGCTCCTGGGTCTTTATCTCCTGGGTTCTGCTTGTTGGCTTCCCCCCAGCCCTGGTTGCTGCTTGCTGACTCCAGCCCAGACCAGTGGCCCCTGGCTGGGCCATCTCCTGCTCTAGAGCTGCCTGCTCCAGATGCCCTGGCTACAACACGGGTCTGGTTCTCTGCCTCCTTCCTGGCTCCTGGCTCTACCCAGGTACGTCCTTGATCCCTTACAGCCCCTTATCTTCTGGCCCACCTGTTCCTGCTCCCCAGCCTCTAGTTGGGAACTTTGCTTCCTTGAACTTGTCTATTCCTGATCCTCTGGGTTGCATGCACCCAGGGGCGAGCCCGGTACCCGTCCTCTCTGGGGCTACCGGACATGGGAGCTATGGTGGGCTGTGTTATCAACCCAGAGAATGAAGCCCTGCTGTGCATCTACAGCATCGGCACGCAGGGATCTCAGCATCTTTCACCAGCGATAACAACTCAGACCCCCCTCCGCTCCTAGGGGAAGCAGGACAGGGCCGTTACCTCCAGCGTACAGCGTGCAAAGCAATGCACGGACTATTCTTCCTCCAGTTTGGTGCAGCATTAAGACTAGGACCCCGGCCACGCAGTCCCCACCCTCCCTGGCACCCGGTCCCCACCCTCCACTTCCTAGGCAGGGTCTGACCCGGCGGCCCCATAAGTGTTGAAAAGCACCCCACCCCCCGACTTGCACACCCGCTCCCTCCCGGCGCGCCCTTCTAAGCAGTGTCGGGCGCTGGCTCGCGCCCCCGTGCCGTACCGGAGCTTGTACTTGAGGGTGTAGTTGGTGTGCAGGTAGGTTTCACCCTCCGTGCCGGGGGCCCACTTGCAGGTGAGGTCTTTCATGTTCTTGGACCAGCAGGTAATGTTGACTGGTTTTTCCGGTGGCACTGAAAGGGGAAAGAGCGCCTGACATGAAACCAGTTCTGCAGAGAGCCCTCCAGAGCTGCCTGAGATAAAAGCGCCCGGGCCATGCGAGGGTGAGGAGTGGCTGAGAGCTTTGCTCACTGCATTTGTTTAATAAACGGCTTTAGGATCCCGGCTTGCACGTAGCGACATTCCTCAGGCGCTCTGCTCAGGTGCCACTTGCCTGCCAGGACCTGAGCTCAGGACTGCGATTCCCACACTAGGAAACGCAGCGTCACCCCCGGGCGGGAGCCTGGAGACGTGGGGACGTGCCCCGAGCCAAGGGCCAGCAGCAGAAGCATCCGCCGCTTGAGCTCAGGGAAACACCAGCTTGAGCTCAGGCCTTGGCAGGTACATGAAAGAGCAAATGACTTCCAGTCCCTTGTTTTTCAATGCAAATGTACCGGGGGGCGTCTTCACTTCACTGTGTTTTCTAAGTCGGGCTATTTATTCTATTACTGGGCCCGGCCCCCGTGGAGTTTTCTTTTGGGAACAAGAGGAAAAAATAGTTTTCTGTTCCCAGTCAAGCCTCTATCTTCTGAGAAACTTGTAGATGTGTCCTTAAAATAGCCTAAGATAAAATCTTATGATTATTGATTCGGACAACTGCAATTTCACCGCTGGTTGCCAAAACAGCCTTTCTGCTGCAGAGCTCTCATTGTATTCAAGGGCTGAGGCCATGTGTGATAACTCACAGGATTAGAGCTACATTAATTAATTCTGGGAAAAGCTCTGGGCTGTGCAGATGAGCAATAAGTGCAAACTGCTGTAAGGACATGAAAAGTGCAAGTGGTTAGTGCCTGCGCGACCGTTCCAGGGGCTCCTCTGCCTCTCGTTCTCAGTTACAATAAACACTTTTATAAATCATTCAATTTGTTCTCACGAAACCTTCAGCCACTAATGAAAGCACCCGGTGCACGGCGCCACGTGACTGCTGCTTTGGAGAAGTAAGACCCCCCCTGAGCACCTTGGGGTCATTAGGAGCCCAGCGGCCTGGCTGGCTTCCAGCCAGGGTGATTTACACGCTCGCTCTCCTAATCCCTCCTGCAGCTCGGGGTGGAGACCCCCTTCTCCGCTTCCCGATGGATGGAGCAGCCGTCCTGCACAGCGGCTTCACCCCAGGGACAGCTGCGCGTCAGTGGGGAGGAAGCAACTGCTGGGTCTGCCTGGCCTCCAGAGAGGTTTGGGAACCCTTTGGATGACCGGCCCCAGGCGGCGTCGGGTGTCGGCAACCACATTCACCCTGGCAGGAGGTGCCACCACCCACGAGCCGCACCCGGGATGGCCGTGGGCCGAGATGGCCGCTGGCCGTAAGCATGGCGCGTTGGCGGAAGCTGCCTGGAAGACGGGATGTATGCATGCCGACACCCCACGGGCAGAGCTGTGCATCCGGCATGCGTATACCTACATCCGACGTAGAGACAGGAGCCAGCCAGGATGCCGCCGTCCCTGCTGTGACACACCAGGTTATCGCCCGACTGCTGCTTGGACCCGTTGAGGTGGGCGAGTGCCACGCTGAGGGTGGAGGCGTTGAGGACCTTGTAGGACTCGGCAGGGAGCCGCCGGCCATTCAGAGTCCAGTACAGGTCCTCCGCGCTCAGGTGCGAGTCGCTGTTTACGGTGCAGGCCGCGGTCAGCGACGAGCCGATCACCAGCGTCGGATCTTGGGGGGATATGACCGCGGGGTCTGCAGCAGAGGGGAGAGAGCAGTCGAGGGGCGCTCTCCTGACCGACCCAGAGCTCCCGCCCCCAGGAATTGCTGCATCGCGGTCTGTGGGCTGGCGAAAGTCCCCCTGCCCGCCCCCCCCCCACCTACGATGCAAACATATGAGATGCCTGGGATTTATATAGGCAGGTTTGGCAGCTTTTGCATGCGACTTGGACCGCAAGATGTAAATCGAGTGTGGTCCCTCTCCAAGACTCAGCTCTTAGTTATCTGGAGAAGGTGTTTCTCGCGCGGGCCGGGCTCGGGCAGGTTCAGCGTTAGGGGTTGTTTATGCCGTTCTGGATGCTTTGTGCTGGCTTTCATTTCTGACGGCTTAATTTGCTTTCTCTGCGTGTGATGTGGTTGGCTGCGGCCGGCTGGGCGTGGGGGCTGTGGCTAACTTCTTAAATTTTTGTGACAAAAAGGATTTGAAAAGCAACAATGGAAACTTTTTTTTTTTTTTAAAACCCAATCGCAGCCAGGCCGCCCCGAAAGAGGGGGCAAGTCTGCACAGCTAAACACTGGCCAATGCCTCTCTGTTCTGGAAGGCTCTGGGTCACCCTGGCACTGGGAAAAGTGCTTTGCTTTAAGCATATGCTTGAGTGCTTTGTGGGGCCGGCAGCTACGAAGCACTGAAAATCCACTGCTTCCCCTCCGGAGCCCAATCCAGGGTGAAAGTATGTGAGAAATGCACCTGCCGCCCCTGCCCCCCCATCCATCCACGAGCTGGGCCACCGGTGGCATGCGTGGCGGGTTGCCACGTCTGTGTGCCAAATGCATCCCCAGCCTGTAGGCTGCTGCCTTGGCAGGCAGGGCTCAATTCCCCGCTCCGGGAGCAGCTCGGATGCACGCTCGCAAGCCCCGCGCCAGCCGTTCCTCAGCCCGCACAGCTGGGCGAGCGGCAGAAGGGACCCCGCGGGCCCCGATTCTGCAAAGCCCCCGAGCCAGGGATCGACTATAAACGCACGGGCCAGAATCCGTAATGCTCAAATGCCACTTGTTGCCCTGGAGATATTCTCGTGGGCAGCTGCTGCAATTGCAGAGCAGATGCCGCTTTGGTAAATTCCTTTTGGAGAAGGCACGCTTTCACCTGGGCGGGTTTTTTATTTCCGCCCCTGAGGTGACGTTCCTGCTCCTGGCACTCTGCCCTGGGGATTTTCCACGCGGGGAGGCGGACGGGGATGGGAGAGGGGTGTCTTCCAGCATTTTCGGGCCCTGCAAACGCCCAGCCTAGATGAGCACCTTCCTGCCGTGGGCAGGGGAAGGGAACGTGCAGCCCTCTGCCTTCCCAACACGCCCGGCTTCGAGCCCCACGGGCTACATCCACCCTCGTAGGGGTGGTGGCACGGAGCCGGTTCCCCAGGGCAGTCGCCAACGTCGGCCCCGTTTGCTGTGTTGGCGCAGCGGGGCATCTCCTGCCTTGTGCTCGCGCTACTGCCTGCAGCCCCCGTGCCTGGCCCGACCCGGGCAGCCCTGCAGCGGAGTTGCAGCCCTGTGTTGGACCACGGTTTCAAGGGGGATGAGCCCTGCTGAGCTGAGCCCGCGCCGTGTCGAGTGGCTGCTCCGTAGCTGGGCGCTTGCACGAGATGGAGGAACAAAGACCCTCGAGAGCGGCCTGTGGGGAACGCGCAGCGCGGGCGACGCACGAAGCTTTCCCTTCCTCTCCGTGAAAAAACAAACAAAGGACATTCCAGCTGCCGTGCGGCCCGGGCCCCACCAGCCCCACGCGCTCGCGGGGCTTGCTACGGTTCAGGACATCCAGCCCAACAATTAGTGGGGCGGCAGGAGGCCGCGGCTCCTTCGGTCCTGGGACCGGGCCTCCGAAAGCGTCCTAGCTCTGGATGCAAGCGTTTCCGTCCAGCCGTCTCCTCCATTAGGCAAACCCCAAGGAGCCGCCGTAGACGGCTCTCTGTTAAAAAGCTGCAGCCTGCCGATAAAAGGGCCCAACGCTCTGGGCCCTAATTCTAGTAAATCTCAATCTAAACAACACTCGAAACACGTATGAGCTTCATAAAACAGACACGTTTCCCGGCCTCCCCGCAGAACCGTGGAGAGGGGACGTCTGGAGGGGCCGAGCTTTTTTTTTTTTTTTATTTTATTTTATTTTTTTTTTAAGCACTGCTTTTTTTTCCCTAGACACAGACACAGAAATGAACATGTGTTTTAAAAGGGAAAAGTGTGAAGTTTTCAGATTGGAGAGGAATGGGCCGGGGAGACGCGGCCAACGTGTGGAATGTGCAGCTCGGACCTAACATACCTGCTACAAGTTTTATTACTTTCCTATTAAAAAAAAAAATGCTGATCAGGTGCTAAGTAATACTATAAAGTAAAACCACATTTCCAAGGTGTCAGGAACATTTACTCTTTTCTTTTGAATGGCCGGATTTAATTTTATTTTTATATCAGCGTTGTGAGCGACTGGGAAAGGGGGGGGGGAAAGAAAAGAAGAAAGAGCCTCGGAGAAAAGCATCTGAGCTCACGCAACAAGACAGAACTTTAATAGGACCTGCCCGGATTTAAAAAATAATTGTCTGGAAGATCCCCACGTGGGAAAGCAGAGACGAATTTTTGCAACATCAAATTTTGCAAAGAATACAGTTAAAATTCCTTCCGGCCGGGAGAAATGTGGTCTGCAGCCTCCCGGGTTGCTGGGCTGGCTGGACAACACCGCCCTTTCCCCTCCAGCCCGGTCACCCGCATGCTTTGTTTCTACAAAAACCTCTTTGCACTTGGGTCTCCCCTGTCACGTCCTGGCTGGCGTTTCCCACACTCCATCCCTCAACTCGGAGGTGGATTAAAGACAAAAATTCAGCTCAATTGCTTCAGTCAAATGTGGGAGGAAAATCCTTGGACAGTACGTTCGGGTTTATTTTTCTTTGCATTCTGGTTACTCAGAGGGGTTAATTACTGCACGTCAAACCCGACGGGAGCTTAGCCTCCATGCAGCCGGCGTGCCTTTGACAGGGCTGGAACACAGTTGTGAGCGGTTGTAAACGCCAGCCTGACTCGGGGGAGCTGCGGGGTCGCATGCAGCCTCACCCCGAGCGTGCACACGTGGGTGGGCTGAGCTCGCAGGACAGGGGGGTGAGTCTGCTAGGGCAGGGGACCTGTGAGGATGTGGATTTGAATCCCACCTGCAGAAGGGGGCTGTCTGATGCTGGGATGCCCAGGAGGAATCTGCTAGACACACCATTGACGCCCATTGCCTGGGAACAGTCGGGTCCCCCGCAGGGCCCTTGCACCCGCTCTAGCAGCAATCGTCCCTAAACAGCCGCGGTCTCCTGGCCCACGCGCCCGTTCATGCCATGCCTTGCTGGGACCATCGTGCCTTCTAGCAATGCCACGGTCAGATGGCACCTGTCACGCCCCACTGACACCGCACGTGTCCTCCCAGCACTACCTGGGGCCCGTATCGGACTTGTGAGCCTGCAGCACCCCCCATAGACAGCTGCCCCCAGCCCGGCTCAGAGTGGGAGCCTGGCCCCTCGCTGCAAGGTCCCCGACTCTGCCGGGCTCTCGTGGCAGGGCAGCAGCACAGCGGGGGCCTCCGCTCCCACTTCTAGACTCTTGCCATTTCGTATTTAACGGTCGGTGATTCCTGATCGGTCCCTGAACATCTCACTGCGAGGGAACGGGCTGGGACAGGCCCAGGGCAGCCTGTGCACCGTGGCCCATGTTTCACGGGGAGTTTTACCCCTCCCTTTCCAAAGTATGTTGCAGCAGCAACAGGCCTGGAAGGACAGAGGGTGGGGGGGAATTATCCCGTGTCCTTCCTTTTCCCCGGAGGACACAGGCAGCTTCAGGCACAGGTGTTTCGCAGCAGGGCGGCCCTGGGCGCGATGGTGGAGCAAAGCTAGCCGCCTGGCTGGAAAGGCGCGGCTGCCCAGGCCAGGCGGGGAGCGGGGAGGATACAGGCCACAGCCTCCCGAAGAACAGCAGCAGCTTTTCTTGGCCTGCCTCGATGGTGTGTTTCGAGCAAATCTCGCCTTGAGAAATTCCCATCATAAAGAGGAAGCACAAACTTCCTGCTCCAGGAGAAAGGGAGCGTTCCCGCCCGCCCGCC